AGAAAAAGTGATTCATACTGATAGCAGAGGAATGAAGCAGCACACAGAAATGACACTTAGTACTCTTAATTGAAGTACAACACTACAGAGAGATATGCTTTGCTCATAATTCATCTGTTTTTTTGTTATTTTGTCCCCCTGCCCCCCCCCCCCCCCCATCAACTGTGTATACTAGAATGACCAACTTTAGCAGTTATTGGGATGTTATATTAGCCCAATGAAGGGAATGCATTAAAGTGATACTAAACCCACAACAGTAAAATCAGTCTGTGTATACAGTAAAGCATGCTTGATATACTCACTGTGGAACCTAAGGGGTTAATTCTCTGCATTGTGTAAAAATACTGTTTGATCCTGATGTCTATGATCCTCCCCCTTCTTCCAGTGTCCCCCTCTTATCTTTTCTTGGGACAGTGCATGTGATCAGCGCAGGGCAAATCAGCACTGTCCAAGCAGAGGTCAGGGGTCCTGCATCCTCCTAGAGCAGAATGAAAACTCCTCCTACAAGCTTTAACCAGTGCTCTGCTGGACACTGATAGCAGTCACAAGACTGCTCTAACTGCTGATAAGAAAAGTATGTAGCAGTTTATATTTACTAAAATAATTGCATTTCCATGTTGTGTGTACTGTGGGAGACCAGATAATGAATGCAGGGTCCGGGTTTAGTAACACTTTAAGGTAAAAACAGTTAGCCTTTAGAACAACTTTTACAGTTTCAAACTGACATATGCAGCATTACATGTAATATATACCAATGCTAAGTGTACATGAAAAAGCTTGCCTTCATTCTGTGTGTCAGCAACAGAGCTTCAGTGGTGTTGTTGCAGATCTGAGAAAAACATCTGCTTAGCTATTATTCAGCTAACAGCACATCAAGCAGATCTCTTCTAAAAAGAAACATCAAAGAGGTCCCTTTGTTCTCTGGGTGAGCCTGTTATTCTCAATGAAGGGAAAATGACAGAAAGAAGGAACCAGCAAAATGCTAAGAGGAAAACCATCTAGGGGAACGTTTCTGGTAGATATCTGGGGTGATGTTGAGGCCAAGAGAAGAACTAAAATTAGGCAAGGGAGACTCGTTTAAGTGACCTTATAAGTTTTAAAAAAATGCAGATGAGAGGTCCCTGCAGTAGAACAGCTTACTCACTCCGGTGATCTGTGCCTCCCATCTTCATAGGACTCTTTGGCATGCACTTTAGCGTTGTCCTTCTTCTTTAAGAGCCCACGGCATGGTGCGCAAAATCAAAACACCATAAATGAAAAGTGGAAGTGAACACAAAAAGGGGAATTTAATCCAGCCATACCTGAATCGAAATGCAGCAGTTCAGCAAGGACAGAATGCATTTGATCCATCTATGTAGGTATGTACAACTGTCCTGTCAGATTTTTACCACTCGATCAGCTCCGCTGGTTATACTTGGCAACGCTGATCAATGCATTCTGACGGCAGGTAAGTCTCTCCGCTGTCAGAGCACAATAGCTTAGCGGGGATTATTCTATCATCCACCTCAAAATGTGTGGATGGTCGAATCAGGTCATTTTTTAATATTCAACCAACTAGTTTAACACAAAAAAAAAAAAATCATCTATGGGCAGCCTTATGGTGTGTTATATGATCCCCTCCCAAATAGTTAGGACCCTTCACTGACCCACCGGGACACAAGACTCCCTACAGGGGCAAGGAGCACTCAGGTCTACCTAACCAAAAGGCCCAGCAGACCCCTTTCCTCATGATCAGCCAAAGCTGACAAACGAGTTACTAGAGAACGGCAGGTCACAACTCTCAGGGAGTGCTTGACACAGTGGGCTCTCTGCCTTCCTAGACCTCAGCCAGACAAAGAAGTACAGTGTGAATCAAGAGGCAATGCCTCTCAGAATCCCCCCACATCACTAGGGAAGAAATTCCACCCCCAGGTCACCCAGCAGTGCTTAATTCCGTTTTCCTTTCCACAAGGAAGATCTCTCATGATCACCATCATACCAGAGACATTGACCAACAGCACCCCTGCCCCACCCAAGAGAGCCTTCCACTACCATTGCCCCCCATATGCCACCTTCCCCACCCGGTGAGAGAAAGATACTCACCTTCACAGCTCTGGACATCCTCGGGAATGGGAGTCGGGCTCTACATATACCCTCAAGCAGCTTGCAGCCTCTCTTGGATCCCACCTGATCCCCATGTCTGTGTGTGTCTCTTCTTTGGTCCCTTCTTCCAGGGGGCAGTGCTGCCCCCCTGAGAAAATGCCACCCTAGGCAAATGCCTTGTTTGCCTTGTGGTAAATATGCCCCTAATCATACCAACGGGGATACTTTACAGCCAGCCATCCCAGCCAGAATGATGGCAGAGCACCCCTACCAGACACTGATATGAACAGATACTACACTTGATGTCAGCCAAAAGTTTGAAAAGCGAGTCTACATGATTATCAGACATAGCAGGGTCCTAGGGATTGGAAAATGGAAGAACAGCAGGGGTACACAGGCATGTCACACTTTCAAATGCTGAATAGTCTTATGGAGGCTGCAATACTGGAACACAAGAAAGATGGAAGACATGGGGACCTGGAGGAGAGAGAATAAGAGCTCTTCTTCTTAAGGGACCTTCTATCTGCATATCTTTATAACCTGACAGGGTCACTTTAAAGGTTAAGTTCACCTTTTAGTAAAAAAATAATAAATGCATATTTTTTTACAGGTAAAAAAATGTGCATTTATTATTTTTGTCTGCAGGAGCCTGTAAAGCATTGCACCACCGACATAGACAAAGGGAGGCTGGGAAGGGATTTCTTTTATAATCTGCTGGGTACCAAACTGGTACTGAAGTCTATGTAGAAAAAACCATGTACCTAATATAGGTTTACATATTACAAATTATTATAGAATGAAAGGATAATATATATTAACATATTTAATGGAGTTATCCATATTTTTACAAAAAACAATAAATGCATAGGTAACAAAATGTGCATTTTACAAAAACTGGACCAATCAAACTGGAGCCACATTCCTTTCTGTCAGTATATCTGCAGGTACGTTCACAAGCGTGTGTGCAGGCGGCAGAGAGGCCTTGCCAATACATTACAGCACATTGCTTGTTTGCGTTTTGCTGCAGAAAAACCTCTAAGGAGCTTTGAAGCTGGATTCTCGTCTAGCGCTCCGCATCAGAGCAGCATTGCTGTGGGGCGTTAGCCTGCAAATGCAGGTCTCCTTCAGCGTTATCTGTCAGCTATATTTGGCAAGCTTGGCCCATGTGAAGAGATGTGTAGGGCAAGCAGATATACTGACAGGAAGAATGAATTAACTACCACGGCACTCCATAGCACGGTGGTAGTTCATTGAGGACTACAAGCCGACCACCTCTAAGGCTGTCAGGACTTGTATTCTCTCATTCACAGAGGACTGTGAATGAGTGACACAGCTGGGTGGGCGGAGCCCCGCACGGCTGCATTTTTTTAAAAAATTTGACAGCTAACAGGGGAGAGAAGATCCCCCACTAGCTGTCAAAGTGGGGATCAGGGGGGTGCGAGAGCCAGTCTGATCATAACGTGGTACACCTTGACTATGGGTGTAACATGTAACTTGTTACGAAAGGTGAACTTGTCATTAACTATAGTTTTGTGGCTATGTATATCTTTTAGCAGTAGTATCTTTACACGTGTTAGTCATTACATACGATTGTCTTATATTTTTCTATTGAATATCTGGGTCAGATTCTGAGAGCTTCAGCATTGATTTAGCCCAGCCTGCAATAAAGTACACTAAGCAAGTAATGTGTGCCCCAAAAGTGAAGGACTGCCACACAATTCCCTAGTAAAAAAAGCCTTGAAATTTCCGCTCCACCCCCATAATGGGCATCGAGATATCCACCACCATCAAATAAGCTGAAAGCAAGCAGGCTGCCATTGCTGATCTCATTCTGAAAATGCCAGTTGCTTGGCTACTATGCTGAACCACTGTTTTTGACAACAAATTAGCAGATCAAAAAAGTCAAAGAAAAGTCAGGAGTTCTTACCTATGTATTTTTTTCAGGTCCGTATAGCACTGAAGTTAGAAGGTCAGCCAAGCAAAAATAACACTTTCAAAATTTAAACTAGGTTCAAAAAAGGTTCAGGAGGGCAGTATTTCCAATATTGCTGAGATTATGAACTCGGGGACATAACCTCAAACTAGCAGGAAAGTTCAAAAATAATCCATTAACCACTTCAGCTCTAGAATTTTTTTTTTTTTTTTATCATTTTTTGCACACGTGTACAAATCTGCATTTCTGGCATACTGTAAACCCCCAGAACATTGTATATTTTCTGAAAACAGAGGCCCTGTAGAATAAAAAGATAGTTGCAATTTTTTGTCTCATGACATTTGCGCAAGTGTTTATCAAATGCATATTTTCAGGTAAAAAAAAATACAAGGAAATTTTATTGCTAACATACAATATAATACACAACGTTTGGTAAAACATAAAAAATTAAATTGCATCAAGTAAATAGATACCAAACACGTCAAGCATTAAAATTGCTGTGTCTGTGATATTGTGCAAAACTATGGTACCCACAAAAATCCATAGGCGGTGCTTTAAAAGTCTGTACTGCTCATCAGTTTAGAGTTAACTGTGAACTATGGTGCTAGAGTTATTGCTCTCACTACGACATTTGAAGCAATGCCTCACTTGTGCGGGGCAAACGCAGTTTACATACACGTGCCCCACCTGCATTTGTGGTTGTTTGCAGGGCAAAGGGGGTTACTTTATCATTTTTTTTTAATACATTTCATTAATACATTAACCACCTTCCGCCCGCCCTATAGTACAATGACGGGCGCAAGGTGGTTCTCTCGTTCTGATAGGACATCTTAGGACATCCTACCATTCTCACTGCGCATGCGCGGCTCAGGGAGCGCGTGCAGCGCGGCGATCGCCGGTCCGCTGTGTCCCTCGGACACAGCGGATCACAGAAAGAGCCAAAGATGTCGGCTCGGTCATGTGATCAGCTGTGTCCAATCACAGCTGATCACATGTAAACACGGAAATGCCGGTTATCAGCATTTCTCTCCTCTCGAGCTGTCACGCTGATAGCTCGAGAGGAGAGGAGAGGAGAGCCGGTAATCGGCTTTCCGCGGAGGGGACATGTACACTGATCATCAGGGCACTGATGATCAGTGTGCCCTGATGATCAGTGTGGCCCCAGAAGTGCCACCTGTCAGTGCACATCAGTGCCAGTGCCCAGTGCCCATCAGTGCCACATATCAGTGCACATCAATGCCACGTCAGTGCCCATCTGAGCTGCCTTTCAATGTCACCCATCAGTGCCAGTCAGTGCCACCTATCAATGCCACTCAGTGCCACCTATCAGTGCCACCTATCAGTGCCGCCTATCAGTGCCAGTCAGTGCTGCCTAACAGTGCCAGTCAGTGCTGCCTATCAGTGCCGCCTAACAGTGCCAGTCAGTGCTGCCTATCAGTGCCATATATCAGTGTCATGTATCAGTGCTGCCTTTCAGTGCCCATCAGTGATACCTGTCAATGCCATCAGTGCAACTACCAGTGCCTCCTCATCAGTGCCCATCAGTACCACCTATCAGTGTCCATCATCAGCTATCAGCCCATCACTGCAGCCTCATTAGCGCACATCAGTGAAGGAGAAAAATCACTTATTTACAAAATTGTATAACAAAAACTAAGAAAAAAACTTTTTTTTTTTCAAAATTTTCAGTGGTTTTTGGTTTGTTTAAGAAAAAAAAAAAATCCCAGAGGTGATTAAATACCACCAAAAGAAAGCTCTGTCTCAAAAAAATGATAAAAATTTCATATGGGTACAATGTTGCATGATCACGCAATTGTCATTCAAAGTGTGACAGCGCTGAAAGCTGGAAATTGGCCTGGGCAGGAAGGGGGCATAAGTGCCCTGTAGACTAGTGGTTAATACATTTCATTATATTTTTTATTTATTTATTCATTTTAGCTTTATTTGCTAAATCACAAAGGGTTAATAAACCCCTATGTGATAGCATTGAATAGGTGACTGGTACTCTTCATGGAGACATTGGGGGTCTATTAGACCCCCAGTGTCTCCCTTGCCCTCCAAAGCAACTACCCAAGCACAGATTGTGCTTGGTTAGCTGTTTTCCCGGCTGTATCAGCCAAAGAATGACAGTTGTGAAAGTGGCAGTGACAAAATAATCGTCCCTTCCGGCTTCAGTGTACAGAACATTGAGGAACAAGCATTCCTTGGTCTCCTGCTCGCCATCCTGAAACCTTCTGACGTGATCCTGAGTTTGTAGCAAGAGAGGGAGGACCTGGAAACTATGTGGGGTTTGGGGGGGGGGGGGGGGGGCTGGTGCCAGCAGAGGGGGAGCCGGCTGAAGAAACGGAGCACAAGGGTTATGGCTGCCACTGCAACCATGAGCTTGTGCTCCACCTTTCACTATCTGAATGTACCATGTAAGACCGAAGAGCTGAATTGTGTAGAGTGTTATTTTACCTAAGAAAGTAGATGGCGCTTGGAAAAGAATTCCAGCAGGGGTAGTGAGTCAGTCATCGGTAAGTGAAATTATATATGCGTGGGACAAACAGATCTACACTTGAACAAACAAAAATACAGCAGATTCAATGGACCTATTGGTCTTTTTCTTCCATCACTCTTCTATGTTTCCATGTTCCATATCCATAGCTGACCAGCATAGACTGAGGTTCCTGTGTATGGAGGATGAGATCGCCAGTGGCCTCTAAATCAGTACTTGCCATAACATGATGAGAGATTATGATGAAAGATTATTACCCCTTTTAAAAGACTGAAATAACCCCCCCTCCCAATAGCTTTTGCAAATCTAATATTTTCCCCTGACAATGCAACAGTGTAAATGGGCATGTATGTTTTATATTTATAAAAGCAGTGTAAGTACCTGAAATTAACTTGGTATCAGCTTCTATCCATCACTTTACAGCAGAGCTCAGACTGGGGGGAGAAGAAGTAAAAGGAGCCAATCAGGTTTGCTGCACTGCAGTATGCATGTTGATAGGAGGAGAGAGCAGAGTGACATAGAGATATGCTCGTCAGTCAGATTCTTCTCCTTACACTGTCTAACCATAGGGGGAGGGGCAAGACCTGTAAGTTTTACTCAACTGCAGGAGAGAAAAACGTGGACCCCTGCCATGCAACACAGGGCTGTGCAAATCTTAAGACTGCATGGACAGAAATACAAATCCTTTGACAGGTAAAACAACCCCCATTAATGTATTTTGTATGTGTATTAAGATTTAGTATTGCCCCCAACTGAGCATTACAAAGTCCACCTACTAGTCAAATGTGGAATGGAATTTTATATAGATATAGCACCTTCACATTTTGGGCTCCTTCTGTATACAAGGGAGCAGTAATCACTTGCTCTAGTCTGCTCATGGTTCCACAGACGTTTCCAGAGCTTGGGGCAAGAAATTCAAATAACTAGTCTGAGTATTTATCATGGCCAATCCCTGGCTAGATGTGCCCAGAAGTCGGTCTGGGAGGTGGTGAATAGTCTCGAGTCCTGGGGAGACTGTTCTTTTCCCCGTTGGGGAGGGTTCCGAGAACCTCAGGGGGCTGATTGCTTCCGAGGCATCCTATGGACTAAGTTGATGTTCTGCAAGGTCCTGGGGACTTGTGACTGACCAGTTGTTGACTGTGCAGCACTCTAAAACAGTTCTGGTTACCTAGAGCTGTGCAGCCATGCAAGGTAACCAGAACTGCTCCATGGTCTTCAGCTATAAGGCCTAAGTCTTGGTTCACACCTATGCGCTTGATGTGGTTCGCGCTTGCATGAGCACAGCAGTCGAATGACTTGAATGGGCTGTTGTGCCTGTGGAAAACACAGGAAAAAGTTCCCAGCACCTTTTTAAACCTCAGCCACAGGGAAATCACATGGTGCTTTTGCATCATGCGATTTCCCACACCTGCAAACACAGTGCGTGTTTAGATGTGTGTGGGTGCCATTAGGAATGAATGGCAGCCTGGCATGTCTTTAAAAAAGCAGCGCGTTTTGGCTGCAGGTGGTTGTGGGAATAGGTTCAATTCATGCACCCACAACAACCCACAAAATTGTAAACCAAGCCTTGGACTCTCCCCATACCCACAAGAAGAAGAGAGTGTACTATGTGTTTCAATGTTACTGAGCATTTTGGAGTATCCCATGCCCCAACCCCTCTCCTTTTACAAGTTCTACAAACAATAAATTACAAAAAGACAACCCCTAGACCAGGGTTCCATGGAACCCAAGGGTTCCTTCAGAGGCTGCTAAGAGTTCCTTGGGCAGTGAGCAATTTCTGCCTCTCAAATAAGTTTGCACTGACATCATTGATCTTTTTTAGCTATCTGTAAGGAGAATTCTTCCCACTGACCAACACACTAATGTATCATGAGTTGTAGATATAGTCATTTTAGCAGGGGGTTCACTGACATTGGAAAGCTAACCACTTGCCCTCCAGAAGATTTAACCCCCCCCCTTCCTGACCATTTTTTGCGATACGGCACTGCGTTACTTTAACTGACAATTGTGCGGTCATGCAATGCTGTGCAGAAAATGAAATTTATGTCATTTTTTTCCCCACAAATAGAGCTTTCTTTTGGTAGTATTTGATCACCTCTGCGTTTTTTTTATTTTGTGCGCTATAAACAAAAAAAGACTGACAATTCTGAAAAAAAAACAAAACAATATTTTTGACTTTTTGCCATAAAACCTATCCAATAAAAAAAAATAATTTCTTCATAAATTTAGGCCAAAATTTATTCTGCTACATGTCTTTGCGAAAAAAAATCCCAATAAGTGTATATTAATTGGTTTACGTGAAAGTTATAGCGTCTACAAATGGCAGTATGCTGGGATTTTTATTTATTTATACTAGTAATGGCAGCGTTCAGTGACTTATAGCAGGACTGTGGCGGGCATTCTGACATTGGGGGAGAACTAACTGCCACTGACATCTCCAGTGACACTAATACAGTGATCAGTACTAATACATTGTAAAGCACTGCACAAACTGTTGGCACTATATAAATCCTTTATTATAATATTAATAATAATAAAAAGCACTGACACTGTACTAATGACACTGGGCAGGAAGGGATTAACATCAGGGGCAATCAAAGGGTTAACTGTGTGTTAGGGAGTGATTAGAATGCGTACTGTGTTGTGTTTTACTAAGGAGACTTACTGCTTTCACAGCAGAGAGATAGAAAGCAGCACGCCCCACGCTGACAGGAGAGAGACCTGTGTTATTTACACACAATTTGCTCCCCTCTCAGCTTTGCCGACGATCACAGAGTCCCAGGCCAGGCGTCTCCAACCGGGACCCGGTGATCGACATCCTCAGGAGCCAGTAGCAGCACAGGTAGGGCGGTGCCGTGTGTGCAAACCCTGCCAGGAAATGCAAAGTCACGTATGTTTACATGATTTTGCACAGCATGACCACCCTGTAGCAGTACATCTGCTATGGGGTGGTCATCAAGTGGTTAATTCAAAGGTTCCTCTGTGTTGAAGAGGTTGAGAAAGGCTGCCCTAGACTGGCTATTGGAGCTGGAATGAATGGACTGTTTCTTGGGTTACTGGCAACCTCTGTACTGTATGGGAAAAGAACCAGTTAATATCAGCAGCCCCTGCAGAGGTAGCGCTACATATGTTATTTCTGTTTTGTATTGTATGCATTTAAATGTTACAAAAAAAAAACAAAAAAAACAGCTGGATATTATCTTTGTGGTACTCAGTGCACCTACTTATTCCAGAAATCACACAGGTACTTGATTCCATTAGGTGAAGAGACTAGAAGTCACTTTTCTCTGCAGGTTTGTCAGTCTCCTTCTTACCTTACTTCTGGACAAGTGAGGTGATGGCTTTGCCCTGGATTTTTCTGTGTACTGTTCTTCATATTTACTGAGTAACCCGACTTCTTCTTCCTCCTCATCCTCCAGAAAATTCCTCCTGGACATGTTTTACCTAAAAGGCAATACAAATAATAGAAGATAATGATTGGTCAATCATTTCCTGCAAAATGAGTATTTAGTGTACGGCAACATAAAGTGGACCTAGCCTCAGATATATGTTTTCATGATCAGTACATACATGCTGGTGTAACACTTCCAGGTGTTTATTACCTCTCACAGAGATCACAATACTCCCACTGACAAGGCCTTCATCTGCTTTTCTCTCCAGAAGGACAGAACCATCTTTGTTCAGACATCATCTAGGGCAGGGGTGGGCAAACTTTTTGACTTGAGGGCCGCAATGGGTTCATATATTGGACCCGGGGGCCGGACCAAGAGTAGATGAATGATGTGTATGTGTCATCCATAGTAAGTAAGTAATATTCCCCCATAGTAAGCATAGTAATATTCCCCATAGTAGTAAGCATATAGTAATTCATCCCCCATATAGTAATTCATCCCCCCCATAGTAATTCATCCCCCATATAGTAATTCATCCCCCATATAGTAATTCATCCCCCATAGTAATTCATCCCCCATAGTAATTCATCCCCCATAGTAATTCATCCCCCATATAGTAATTCATCCCCCATATAGTAATTCATCCCCCCATAGTAATTCATCCCCCATATAGTAATTCATCCCCCATATAGTAATTCATCCCCATAGTAATTCATCCCCCATATAGTAATTCATCCCCCATACAGTAATTCATCCCCCCTATAGTAATTCATTCCCCCTATGTAATTCCCCCATGTCCCCCCTGTGTCAATTCACTTACCTTTGCTCCGCGCATTCCTCTCGCCGTGTTCCCGCGCCGCTCCGATGTAGCATGAAAATCTGTCTCCTATGAGGATCTGTCCCCCTCGACGTATCTGCGCATGTGCCAGTTTCAGGCATTAGCAGCCGATCGGCGATCTCCGGCACATGCGCAGATACGTCGAGGGGGACAGATCCTCATAGGAGACAGATTTTCATGCTACACCGGTCCTCAGGGTGGACTGTGAGAGGAGCCTAGCGGGAGCCTAGCTCCGCGGGCCGGATTAAAAGGTCCGCCGGGCCGTATACGGCCCGCGGGCCGTAGTTTGCCAATTGCTGATCTAGGGTCAGCATTTGCTTCCTGGACTGAGAGGCTGACTCAAAGATTACAGAGTCCTGTCAGTCCTGGGGCCTAGGTAGTTTTTGGGGGTCATCACAGATGTCTGACACAGAGCTCACCTTATAACTTGCCTCAGAAGTCTCCGAGGGGGTGAGCAGTGACAGAAGAAATGCTTACTCCTGCCTGCAGCAGACTAATAAACATCATCTCAGCCTAGGCAACTCAAGGATGGTTTTATTGATAAAAGGTGCAGTTTTCAATACCCCTTAGGGGGGCCTGTGGGGGGCCCCTAAATCAAACCAACCAGTCACAACATATATCACTAAAAGAGTAATTTTACACCTATTGGTAGCCATGTATATCAAAACGCCATGTCATCAAAAAGATTAAATGCCTCCATGGATGTGCACCAGATTCTGATAGGAATATACAGTACCATATTGTGCCAAAGGCACCACCCATATGTCACAAGGAACAAGGAAACACCGCTACGAAGAGCACACCATCACCAGGCTTCTTTATCTTTTAATCCTTGCATATTTTCCAGTGTAAGCTGGTGCCATGGCCGCTGCCCCAAATTTCTGTTTCAAGAGGGATCCTTTCTCTTTCAGCATCCTATGGAGCTTCCCTTGAATGCAGGAACTAGGAATTGTGTCTCCATACACTGTGCGCATCAATAGAAACACACTGCCCTGTAGCCTAGGATGGCATGACATTCCCCTGTTCCTCCCTCCCTGGACTGGAATGGCGGCTGCACTTTCCACTGTAACTTTCTTGTGAATACCGGAAGTTCAGAAAAACAGCATTGAGAGTGTAGGAGATAGGAGCATTGAGAGCCAGTTCACATGCAGTTCAAAGTGCGATTTACATGCAGTTCTGTGCAGTGCAGATTCAGCCCATTCATTTGGTGGTATTTATTCACCACTGGTATTTTTATTTTTTTGCTATGTAAATTAAAAAGTCCAAAAATTTTGAAAAAAAAAAAAAAAGTGTTTTTGTTATAAAATTTTGCAAATAAATAGTATTTCATCATAAATCTTGGCCAAAATTTATTCTGTTATATTTTTAGTAAAAAAAAAAAAATAACCCAAATTAGTTCATAACCAAAATTATAATTTTTAAACTTTTTTATTTATTTATTTTTTTTATACATACTGTCACCCTAGCAGTACACATGGTGACACTGTACTACTTGTGGGGGGTGATGAAGATTTTTTTTTTTTTTTTACACTGATTGCTTTTACACCCATAAAGGATGTAAAAGCAATCATTTCTCCTCTCTGACTGCATTCTTGCAGCCATAGAGAACTACTGAGTGAGCTGTGATTGGTCACAGCTTGTCACATGGCACAAGGCTGTTGTGAATAGCCTTGTACCATGTGACCTCTGTGCTCATTCACAAATTTCACACATAGTAAGCAATGATGTCACAAGTGACATCTTGCTTACAATTTTGCATGTGATCATTGATTGGCCAATCAGCGATCACATGATCGGGACCTCGTACAGAGGTCCTGACAGACGACCGGTGTTCCACTGTGTCCGCAGGACACAGCAGGCACCGGATCGCAGGGAGCGCGCAGAAGCAGGGTGCGGGAAGGCCGTTCGTAAACTGCCACCCGACCCTGCACTTTCACCGTCCGGCCATTTATATACAACGGCTGGATGGGAGGTGGTTAAAATAATTGCATTTCCATGTTCTGTGTACTGTGGGAGACCAGATATAGTGAATGCAGGGTCCTGGGTTCAGTATCGCTTTAAGGCTCCATTCACACGCATTTGCATTGAAATCAATAGAAATGCATTAACAGGTCAAAACGTTGTAAGGATGGAAAACGCAGGCCCTATGCTGGTTTCGCATTCGCAAAGTACTGCGCTAAAATTGCACATACATTTCCCTATATATGGTTTGGCCATCCTTATTACTTTATATTCTTCATAATTACAGGCTTGGACAAAGCAAAGGAGACCTTCTTGCTGTGTCCTTCAGTTGAATTATTGAAATGGAAATCAGCTGACTAATTCTCCAATCACACATATAGATCCATCATCTACCTGCTACCCATGACAGTTTTATTAAGCTTTTAAAATGTATTATAAATCTCTGTAAACGTTATCAATGGTTGATATATGGATGTAAGACTAAAGTGTTGGTGTAATCAAGTCATTACATAAATATGTAATGTTTGCCAACAAAGGCGCACAATATAATTATTGGGTTATATATTGTATAACAGGTGGGAAATGTCATGACTCACTTTCCATGTGACAAGCTGACTTCAGTGACAAAGTTCCATCTTTGAACAACTGTCGCTAAGCACATGACCGCTACACAATCAGTAAGAAATATTTACCATGAGCACCCTCCACATGAAGGGAGATGAAAGTATAGTTAGAAAAAACTCCAGCAAGAAAAATCAGAAATCAGACTACATTCATACAAAGTAGAACTAAAGGCAAAACATTTTTATTCATTTTGGTTTCATAGCATATTGAAAATGACAGGTCCTCTTTAGCGAGCCGTTGCAGGGTCTAATATACCCCCAATGTCTCTTCTGCACTCCACTGAAGCTAATCAAGCATAGATCTCTTCTGGGTTCAATGACCTAAGAGACAATCAGTGAATGGATGTTTGCTGATGTCCCTATGCCCATCTCATAGGTAGGGGCAGCAGGGCCCAGGATACATGGTAGGAGGGGTCAGACAGGCACATTGCATTGTATGTGTAAATTTAAGGCTCTGTTCCCACTACTGAGACTTGTCCTGTGACTTTGGACACATAAAGTCGCATGACAAGTCACAGCCCATTGGTTTCAATGGCACCCATTCAAATCGGTGCAACTTAAAGGATAAGTTCACCTTTTGGACAAAAATAATAAATGCACATTTTTTTGCAGGTAAAAAATGTGAATTTATTATTTTTGTTCAAAAGGAACCTGTAAAGCATTGCACCAGCAGTCAGTAAATCGCTGATGCCATGTAGGTCTCCTGCAGACCTGTCAGAATATCTGCTTGCCATACTGGATGTACGGTCAAGCCGCAGTAGTTCATTGAAAACTACAACCCGACAGCCGCTAAGGCTCTCGGAACTTGTAGGCACTCATTAACAGAACCCTGTGGAGCCCCGCACTGCTGTGCTGTTTTCAAATTTGACAAATAGCACGGGGAGACGTTTCCCCGTACTATCTGTAAGACGGAGGGGGGCCGGCGGGCGCGACTGCAGCTATGGGAACATCTTACATGTTCCACCCTAAAAACGGGTGGAACATGTAACATGTTCCAAAGGTGAACTTATCTTTTAATGTTCCAGTGGCACTGAAAAGGTGTCTGCACTACTCTGATGCGACTTTGCTGTGACTTTGATCCAGAGAGTGTAACGCTGGATGAAAGGTCACACTCTAAATTGTGTGACTTTGGAGTTGCACTAGTGGGAAGGTAGACTAAGCCCTGGTTCCCTTCACTTCATTTGAAGCAGCGCGATTTCAAAGCTGCAGATCAGTGCGATTTGTACCTCCGATTTCACTGCAACTTCATTTAACAGAAGTCAATGCAAGTCGCAATGAAATCGGGAAAAAAGTAATGCAGGAACTACAGTTGTGTTCAAAATAATAGCAGTGTGTTGAGAAAAGTGAATAAAGCTCAAAATCCTTCTAATAGCTTTTATTTCCATACACACAATGCATTGGGAACACTACACATTCTATTCCAAATCAAAAAACATGAAGAAAAATATATCAAATTTGTGTTGTTCCTCTAAAAACAATTGAAGAAAAGTGAATATTAGACTGTTCAAAAAAATAGCAGTGTTTGTATTCTTCTTTATAAACTTCACTATATAAACTGAAAAATGTTTGAAGATTTTGCTTTCCTTTGAATCACTTAATGAATATTTCATTGTATAAGCACTGTTTCTGAGAACTGCTGTACATCTGTGTTGCATGGAGTCAACCAACTTCTGGCACCTGTGAACAGGTATTCCAGCCCAGGATGATTGGACTACATTCCACAGTTCTTCTCTATTTCTTGGTTTTGCCTCAAAAACTGCATTTTTGATGTCACCCCACAAGTTTTCTATTGGATTAAGATCCGGGGATTGGGCTGGCCACTCCATAACGTCAATCTTGTTGGTCTGGAACCAAGATGTTGCACGTTTACTGGTGTGTTTGGGGTCGTTGTCTTGTTGGAACACCCATTTCAAGGGCATTTCCTCTTCAGCATAAGGCAGCATAACCTCTTCAAGTATTCTGATGTATTCAAACTGATCCATGATCCCTGGTATGCGATAAATAGGCCCAACACCGTAGTATGAGAAACATCCCCATATCATGATGCTTGCGCAACCATGCTTCACTAACTTCACAGTGTACTGTGGCTTGAATTCAGTGTTTGGGAGTCGTCTGACAAACTGTCTCCGGCCACTAGACCCAAAAAGAACAACCTTACTTTCATCAGTCCACAAAATGTTGGGGGGGGCCATTTCTCTTTAGGCCAGTCAATGTGCTCTTTGGCAAATTGTAACCTCTTCAGCACGTCTTTTTTTCAACAGTGGGACTTTGCGGGGGCTTCTTGCAGATAGCTTGGCTTCACATAGGCGTCTTCTAATTGTAACAGTACTCACAGGTAACTTTAGACCTTCTTTGATCTTCCTGGAGCTGATTGTTGGCTGAGTCCTTGCCATTTTGGCTATTCTTCTATCCATTCGAATGGTAGTTTTTCGCTTTCTACCACGTTTTTCAGGTTTTGGTTGCCATTTTAAAGCATTTGCGATCATTTTAGCTGAGCAGCCTATCATGTTCTGCACTTCTTTATATGTTGTCCCCTCTCCAATCAACTTTTTAATCAAGGTACGCTGATCTTCTGAACAATGTCTGGAACAAACCATTTTCCTCAGAATTTCAGAGAGAAATGCACTGTAACCAGCATGTACAACATTTGCTGCCTTCCTTCCTTAAATAAGGGCAATAATTGCCACACCTGTTTTTCAAAGAATGAATGACCTCACTAATAGAACACCACACTGCTATTATTTTGAACATGCCCTTTCAATTAGTGATTCAATTATACAGAATCAGCAGCATGCATGTCATGACTGTTGGGTCTGTTGGATTTCTATTACTCTACTACACCTGCTAGTAAATTATTTGCCATGTAGAAATATCATTTCTACCAAAAACAGTGATTGATCAGGTTAGTGATGTCTGACTGCTATTATTTTGAACACAACTGTATTTTTGAAATTGCGCAACCAACTTCAAATCGCACTGATTAAGGCAGTGACATAGAAATACATTAGATATGACTTCAGGTGTGATTTGTAAATCGCATGTCACACCTGAAGTCGCACCTGTGTGAACCAGGACTTAAGCTAAACAATGATATATTTCCTTAGTAGCAAATTATAAATATTTTAACTTTCTGTAATGAATATTTTCTAAAAAATTGTGGTACCATGGGAATTTGACATACAGACACACACACAATTATTAGGCTACTTTCACACTGTTCACTTGCAGAAATGCAGTAAAAAAAAACATGTGTGCTGCCTTTTTGCAGTGTTTCCAGCGTGTTTTTCACCTGACATGATTAAAAAATACACCAAAAACACACCTGCAAGTTTTTTTGTGCATTGTACATTCATTTCAATGCAAAGGTGCACTTTTGATGCGTTTCTGCAGTAATTGCGTTTTTTATGCATTTTCCGTTCATTTCAATGGGGAGGTGCATTTTTGGTGTGTTTTTTTTTTTTTTTTAACTGCACCAAAAAAATGCTGCAAGCAGGACTTTGAAAAACACACTGGACCTGCAACTGACCAGTGTGAAGAGTTCTACAGGATTTACTGTAGGTTCACACCTAAGCATTTTCCGCAGCATTTTGCGTTTTGCAGAAACGCAGTACAGTCCATTTAGCATGATTTCCTATGGGACATGTTCACATCTGCGCGTTTTCACCTGGTGCATTTTTTGGAAAGGGTCAGGGACTTTTTTGGTTCTACAGACTTCAATGGAAATGCTGCAGGAAAGCATGCAGTGCGTTTTTTTTTGCGTTTTGCGTTTTAAATCTGCCTAGCAACAAGAAAAACAAAATTATTTTTCTTGTTGCTAGGCAGATTTAGAATGCAAAACTCATCAAAAACGTGACTTTGAATTATTTTTCTTGTTGCTAGGCAGATTTAAAACGCAAAACGCAGCAAAAATGCACTACATGCTTGTTGGGGATGCAACAGCATGTACTATATACAGTATTGTGTGTTAATATCACTTGACCAGTAGATGGCACTGTACACTAAGGTTACCAGTTGTGCATATCTGTAAAACTTGTTGGTTCTTTTTCTTCTCTCTCTCTCTCTTCATAACCAAGATGTCTGCTGTTAAAGTTTGCTGAAATGTTTTGTATGTTTGCAACTTAAGCCAC